ATGATTCTATGACGCTAAACAAAGATATAGCAATGACCCTCCTCTAGCCCTGCTGCAAGAGAAGAGAATGAAGAAGTTTCTTTCTACTTAACTCAAACCCCAGTTTTGGTAAGTGCAATATTACTGGATAGTGGCTGGCAGCAAAAATCTGAAAATTCAGGTAATTTCACAATGCAGTACATACAAAATCTGCCCTGTTGGCTGCAATTTACAAGCCATTATAAGTAACGTGGCACTACTGAGATGTGCTTCATAAGCCCCGTCTCTGAAAAAAGACCCACTGCTAACATATTTGACAACAGGACTTCATTCTTAATAAGACATCATATTAGGGGAGAGTCATTTAAATGTTTGCATGTTTCAGCCCCTGAAACAAGTCAGAGCTTTGTTTATTCTGTGCTATATCTGTGTTGCGTATCACCAGGCATCACGTATTTCAAGAATTGTCAAAATGTGCAAAGATACTAAGCCAATCTCCTGCTGATGCAAAGTGATGCCAAAACAAGTACTTCGTGTCATAATGACATACGTTCTTTCCATTTGCATTTGTTCTATCACATGCATAAAACCACAGATAAACCTATAATAACTACAGGGAAACAAAAAGTTTTCATTCACACAAACCTTTGGGACGTGAAGTTATATTATACTTCAACTGCTTTATCTTTACTTGGTAATTTACAAATGTAGATGAAGATAAATGTTTCTTATTAAACTCTTGCGCCAATACAACTATGTAACCAATACAGTTATGCCACAGCACCTTTTCTAAGGATGATTACATTTCAGTAGAATAATATAATGCATAAATGTTTATTGTGCTTTCCTTGCCTCAGAAACCTAACAATATAAATAAAAACAAAACCAAGAAAGATTATTACCTCTGACCATGTTATCTCAGTTTGATTAAGTGCCAGAATCTTCAATTTTGAAAATACACCAGATACAGAAGTTGATGTAGATGGAAATTTCATTTTGTTTTCACTGTGTAAACAGAATAATTATTAGCATAATGAATAATTGCATTTATTTAAATCACTAATTTGGAATTACATATTAAAGACAAAAACAATTTACACAAAAAAAATTAAAAAGTCACTGCCAAGGTGTCACATATTTTAAAGTATTACAAAATATCCTTCTAGTTATACTCAAACATACCCTTTCCTAATTTACTTTCCTACTTCATGAATGCATATTTATTCATCTGTGGCCTCCTTCCCCCTTTTTCCTCCCTTAAGTTTTGAATATGAAAAGAATGATTTTCATTAATATTAAATGAAACAAAGTCAGATTTTGGGCTTAAACTCCTTAGTGTCAATTGAAAATAAAGAGCCTACATGACTAGCCAAACCCCAGTAAAACAAAAGGATGTAAAATCCACTCTCAATAGCAAAATATCACTATAAAATAGTTAAAAGATTCTCAAATCTGCAATCTTCAAATTAGTTTTCATTACTCACCCCCAAACAAAAGTTTTTATTTCTTTCCTAAGGTCTGATCTACCTGCATATTATGATAAAAATCTCTCGTGTAGTTATATACTTATGGGTTAAATTTCCCCATTTAAACAAGTTCTTAGAGAGCTAGTAGATGGCTAATCACTTTTATTCTTCTTCCAACATTCCTTGCACAAAAAATTCAGTGACAGAGTTACCTGCTAATGTCTTTCTTTTTTTAAAGTAAACAGAAGGTCCAAACAATAAAAAACAAATTCAGACTTTTTCAGTTTGTAGTCATAAGCATCAGATTCCAGCATCAATCCCATTTTGCTTTCCAATTTTATCACAAATAACTTCTGAAAACCCTTCAGTCTAGACTACACTTCTCAACAATGAAAAACTGAAAAAATTATTCTAGGTAAATTAAAATAAATTCTCTGTATTCTCATGCAGGCTGACAATAATAAATCATGACATATGCTCTAGGCAAAGTTAAATTTACAAATAGCACCCAGGTTGCAAACAGCTGTTCAGTGCTAATATTGAAGAAAATGGAACACCTACAACTATTTTAAAAATACATTTTTGTCACATTAACTATAAGAACAAATACAAAAACTGGGGTCACTTTTTTATTAAATTAACTTGGTATTTATTTCAATTTAGCTTGCATCACTTTCAATTGTTTTAGCTACATTGTGTGTACTGTACAATGAAGGCTTTGGAAGCTGCTGATCTCAACACAGTTCTCCAAGACTGAAAAAAAAAGTCGTATTTTGGGTTTCTGCCTTCAGTCCTATTGCCCTGCTGTTGTCTTCAATGACTAGTACGACCTCTGAAACAGCTGAACAACTCTGCTTAAAGAGTCAGCAAGTCAAGGTGTTAACTTTGACCTAAAGTTGCAGCTATAACATTCATTTCACAAAACTAGTAGTTTAGGCTGCTACCTATTTACAAACTTTAATCCATTGTATTAGTTCACACCAGAAAATTATTCTGTCATCACTGTACAAGAGATTTTCGCCTAGGTCTGTCACCATGATCTACAGGTCTTATCAGCATCATTTCAGGACAGGAATAGGCTGGGTCTTGGGATACTTAAAGTTTGGTTAAAGCAATATGGATATTTTAGTTTGGTGTCAAGACACTGTTGGTAAAGCATCATTCTTAAACAAAAGTGGGCTCCTAAATAAAGACTTGTCTGGGCAGTCAGAATATATCAACAATAATAAATCGCAGAGATAAAGTCTTAAGACACTTGGAATGACTTTAAAAGAAAATGAAAATATATTTACGTTACAGTTTTTCTATGTAGAAAAAAATTTCTAAGCTCATGAAAAAAAACCCAAACAGGTTTGCAAACTCAGAAGGCAAACAGATAGCTACTGCTAAACCTAACTAAAATGCTAAGTGAGATTTTTAAGTAATAAGGATGTGTAACTAGTGCTTTCACAGGCAGGCTGCAAACTCCTGCAGCAGTGCCACCTCAAGGTCTTGGCTTCTTCTGAGGGGCCCATCTGCCAGCGGAGTCCCCACACCCTGCCAGTGCCACGCACAAGTATCCAGAGAGTCAGACCTGCTGCACGTGCATACAGCAAATTTGGCTAAGTCTGCTGTGAAGCTGGTCTCCTTGCTGCAAGCCAGACTCACTGCACGCATGCAATGTGGATGCATACGCATGTTAAGTCAGTTCTCCTTGGGGCAAACTAAGCTTAAAATCAAGAGCATTAATTTTCTTAGATGCCACAGAAATGTATAAGGGCATCTTACGACGCTGTAAACCTAAGTTTCTATACTCCCTGTTTCTTCATTTCTATAAAAGTACTCTGAGTAATTTTTTTTACCTTCAGCCTAACTGCTTAAAAAAGTCTACAGCACCCTGTAAAAATCTATAATGCATTTTAATCCCGTCTCCCTAGCCAACAAGCCAATTTGCATAAAAATGATGAAATATGTTATGTAGAACACATTGACAAATGCCTAAATTCCTGTAAATGTTTAATGGCTGAAATCTGTATTCTATTTTTCAGACAACTTTGATTTTTCTAGTTTTACAAAACTCCAGTCAACACCCACATTTGTCCCAAGCGCTCCTCCAGAATTTAGTTCTACATAGGTGCTAAACTCCTAGGGTTCTACTCTTTCCTTGAAAAGGGATGTCTGAAAAATATAGCACACACACAAGTTGTTTAAGAACAAGATTTAAAAAAAAAGTATTAAAAAACTTAGCTCCCATTAAAATGAGTATTGAGGCATGCAGTTACCTTTAGAAAGCTGACCCCGTAACTAAAAGAGCCTCTTCTTTTTTGTCCCTACCCCAAAGGAACAGAAACCCAAATATGAATATTTATACCTGATATTAAGTGTTTCCAGATTTTGAACTTGAGAAGCAATAGCTGTTACTGTCTCCCAAGATGATATCAGATTTTTTGATAGATTTATATGCCTGATATCTGAAATTTCACATTAAGAAAAAGAAACCTATCTCAAACCTGAACTTCCTTTTTTTGAAATTAGAATTACGGTTTGTAGAATTAGGGTTTGTTTTTGAATCAAATAAACAGAAATAGATTACACTTGTTTGGACTAAGAGATACTACTGCTCAGTTACAGCAAATTTTATTTTGATTTGTGGTATGGAAATGGCTTATAGTTTTATAAAAGAGCTTAACTTTACAAATCCTAAAATGGATTCATTTCTGTATTGACAGGAACTCTTACCAGTCCTTATAAATGAACAAATAATACCTGTTTTGTATTTCTGTAACATCGCTACAACATGCAGTATATTGAATACATTATTTATTATATATTGGAAACCTCTGGTGCCTACAGAACATATCCGTTGTATTTTTATGGGGTTATCTATACTAGAGTTAAATTTTAAAAAAAACCCCATTGCTGGAGCCTTCTGAAATTGCAATCACAGTAGCAACCTATGACAATATTTCTATTTTTATCCACAATTTGCACTCCCTCTCAAAAATTGTAGGCATCTACTTTTTAACTCTGTAAACATTGCATTAAGCTTCTAAATATAAACTGCAGTTTTACACTTTTTTTTAATAAAAGGATACAAATATAATTCATTGAAGTGAACACTTGGAATGCTAAAATATGTACTTTTTTGTGGTATCATGCAATATAGCAAAAAAGGATACTAGCACACGTTCTGCTGATTTCCTCTTTCCGACCAGCATGGCTCACTGCACACTCACGCACTGAGATATCTACCAGTTGGTTCAGTTGACTAAATGAGAAAGAACATTCTGTTAAGTAATCTTCAAACAGAAATAGGTACGTTATATAAATACCTGGTTGTTACAACTAAATAATATCCTTTTCATACATACATTTCGTCTCCTTTAGAATTAGCAATGTGCAGATTGTTACACTGCAGTGTCTTTGTTACTCGCAGACACATCTCCTCTATTTTTTGCCTTCACATTGCTACTACAAAATAGGTCTGGTTGAGCCACAACCCCCACCCCCCAAAAAAACTCAGCCAACCCTCATCCAACTGAGACTGCCACCTACTGAACTCATACCCCTCTGCTGTTGGAGGTCATTAAAGCTGCAATCTATTACACATCATTCAGTTACTTCCTTTCTTACCCTTCCAGATAAATGACCACGACACGAACTGACTGAAAGACTTCTTCACCAGCAGTACAGTGACTTTCTGCCTTCCCTCTCTTACTTACAAAGTCATTACTGATATGAGTAAACAAAGATGAAATAATACTGTACAATATTAAGAAAATACTAAAATACATTTATTTAAAGAGGACCATGCACGTGTATAATGATTGCCAGTATCGTGATAATTTATCTCACTCGTTCCTCCCTAAATATGTGAAATCAAAATGAGGATTGTGAGCACTCAAACATGACGTAATCCCAGTTCCTATTTGTAAAACAGGTAAATTATGAAGCCACAATAGGAAGATTTCTTGTCTCTTCCACCATAGTGCAGTTTGGCTTACTTTTAGAGATATGACAATATTATATACAAGGCAGTCAGCTTCCTTTTCTTACAGTTGAACTACTACTTGACTAATCAATCGCTAAGAGTGTATCTTAGATTTTCATATATTACACTTGCCTTTGTTGTTCTGCAACAGAATCCATGCCAACAAATTCCACAGGCTTCTTTCCAAATACTAATGTATTCTCTGTCCCATGTTGAACGTCTTGCTCATCGTTCAATCCGTACCGACCCTTTACTGCAGTAAGAAAATCTACTCCAAAATTTGCCTTGTTTGGCCGGATAAACGATCCTCCTCTAGGATGCCTAGAACAGAGCAGCCAGGAAAAGGTGAAATATGAAAAGTTATCATAAGAATGACTAATCTCAAAAGTACTAATGATTACTTTTTTGAAATACTGGGAACCAAAGCAGTCAAAAGGCAATTCTACAGGCTAATTTTAGATATCACTGTTCCCACTCAGTGAGACCAGGTAAGACTTGCAAAGTATCTTTGATAGTATTTGACCCAACAAGTTCACATTGTGAGATGCCACGAGAACTGAAGCACCAGATCTCCAAATGTACTTACACATCAAAATTACAATGTCAGTGCCATTATTAGAAATAATTGCTCTGTTGTTTCCAAACTCATTATGAACTCAGTTTTCCCAGAAAATTAAGTTTCTACCTATGGATAGACACAAAGTTACCTAATCATACAACAAATGTGTCTGGAGTTTTACCACAGCCTAAGGCCCATAGGAAAACTCAGAATAGTCATTGCCTCATTATATTTTACTTGAATAATTAACTTGTAATTCTAAAAGAATGCAGCCTTGTCCTTCCATCCACACAAATGACACAAGATGCAAACTGTACCACTTGGAACTCTTATACAAACTCAAACTTTTAAAAATTCTGATACTAACTTGGTAACAATTTTGAAACTGAATATTCAATAGAATTATCCAGCTAATGTATGTCTACACAGTCCTGTCAAGTTTCTTAGTTTTTCTTGAGCACTGAAAAAACTTTATTGCATGACAATTTCTTGCCATGCAATTGCTTTGACAATTTCTATCAAAGTTAGCAAGGAAACACAGTATCTAGGAAGAAGACAAGTTGTGGGAATGGTATCACAGAGCAGATGGAGGATCTGATAGGAGAATCAGCCAGAAAACATCAGGAAGAAAATTGGTAGTTATGATTATCTGTCTGCCTTCTAGCTGAGAAGAGTATAGACTTCGGTTGGAAAGTACCCAGAAGGAAGAACTCACTTATGTAAATAAAACTCCTCTTTTCAAAACAATATGTAAATGTCACATGGCTAATTAGCAAACCATAATATAAACCACCAATGCTACAGAGTTCAAAATTCTCTCAGAAATACAGTAACTAGAGACCCCGAATCCTATGAACCTATTACAAGTAGATGGAATAGCTTGGGCACCATATATGCGTGTTTTTACTGAAAAATCAGTACTGGAAATTGCCTGTGCCAGTTTCATTCATTAACATTTCTAATACTTATTTAAGTTCTCTCATATTCCAAAGAAGGATCTGGGTAGAAACTAGGTATTATTTACTTTAAAAATATTTTCAGTCTAGTTTTGTAGTGACCAGGTTTAGAGCGCAATGATTACAAAACAAGCAGAAAGGCATACTCTTACAGAATGTAAATCCAGTGTGTACTTTCATGTTCAATAAACATTTTCAATTCTCTACATTTTTAATCCAGTAACCTTCTCTTAAGTCTCTTCTTCCATTCCTTTGAAGTCTTTCACAGTTTGCAAACATTTGGCTAGTTTAAATGTTAAACTTCCTCAAAGGTAAAGATTACGTGACTCTCTCTTAACACCACTTCTTAAAACAGTAAATGACATTTTCACCATCTTAACTATAACATCTTTTACCTGTGAAGTATATCACTTTTGCATTTAATTAAGTCAAACAGCTTCACAAATGGCAGACAGTGCAGGATTCTACTTGGAGCTCTGGAAAGAAAACTTGTACTCTTGTCTATCTGTAATTCACCCTATGTATGTTTATTCTGGCATCTCCTGTCCTTCTTCCTGTCACCTTGATTCTCCCCATTTTGTCATTGCCATCCCTCTGCATCAACAGTTTTGCTACTTTTCTTCCTCTGCTCTCCCCAACCCTCTCACCAGAGCTAATCTAGACACCCACATCTGCATCCCTCCTGTCACGCCATTTATCTCTGACGTAGCCAAGCCCTTTGGGTCTCTCCACCACCATACCTGTTCCTAAGCCCATTTCTGGCCTCTCAGGTCACCATTTCTACTGGCATCCCCTTCCTCATTGTCTTTGCAGGAGCCTGTTCTATCCCTAGGAAAAAATGCAAGGGAAACTAGCTACCTTGCCTCTTGTCATTTGAAGCTACAGGAAAAGTATGGTGCATTTCTCTCTCAAGACCCTTTTGTTTTTTGTTTTGATCATAGGGTTTCTCTATCCTGTTCCTATCACTTCCAAGCACTATGCATGCTATCTTATCTAATGTATACTCAAATCCATTCCACAGCCTAAGTTTCTTTTTCAGTTCCATTCTATTAATTTGATCTACTTTTTCAAGAACTGTCACAGAGAAGGACAGAAAAGGAGACTGCAATAGGAACCTATTTTCAGGCAAAATGATTGTGTGTTCAAGGAGAGAGGTCACTTACCTGTAACTCGTTTTCCCTAAAATACACTGCTTGTATTAACTTTCACACTAGGGAAAATGAACTGTACAAGCCATACGTACTATCAAACAACTAACGTATAGCACCTGGACTCTTGAAAAAGCACACCTATTAGCAGTCAGTCTCTGTAACTGGGAACTAAACAGATAAATCCTAATCCAAAGAGTCATCCAGCATGCGTACCATGAGATTGAAGAACCTGCGGACTACTGATCAACCTGACTTAAGCTGAACATTCAGAAGTCTGAGAACAGGAATTTTGCTCCCGTGTGTGCAAAATGTCCTGCAGCCAGGACAATACACTGTGCAGAAATGAAGTGGTAGAAGATATGCCCCAATTTCCTTAAGCAGAAAATCTGGAACCAGCTGGCTCTGGTTAATACTGACAGTTCTTACTGACTTTTAAAATAAGAGAGGTTGACCCCAATCTCAGAAATCAGCTTGTAGGACACTTCCTATTCATAATTCAGTAGCCTGAAGCAATACAGCCCATCTGCTAGCATGGGCCTTGAAAGATATTCACTAAAATTTAGATTAGCTATCAGCTTCCACCGGTTAACCATTTCACTGAATAAAGAGGAAATTTGGCATCATTCTTCTTTGCTAATGGAAAACAAAGTGGTGGCACTGCTCACCATTACAGGTACATGATGGCTCTTCATAGGCTAGAGAAATGTCACACACATACAATTCGCAGAACGTGAAGAATAATGCAGTAGTACCTGAACTGTGTTCTGCCAATAGTTACACACTTGAGCTGTCTGACTGCAGAAGCAAGCTTCTGAGCCAAGGAGAGAGATCTCAGTTTTATCAGCCTAGATAGTAAAGGTGGGTGGAAGGGCTTCTTTGCCCAGTACTGGCTGTTTGCAATGATTATCTCAAGGCAATTATCATCATGACTGGGGCACACACACTACAAAAAGGTGTCATAAAATATAGCCCGCTGAATCCATGCACGTCTTTTCTAGATACGCTCTGAACAAATCTCTTCCTTTTAGGGGAAGGTGCTCAACAGACCAGACTTCTTTTAGAAGAATCTACACACTGCAGTAAAGAAATCCCTTTAAGTTTTACAACAGTCTGTGACAGCTGTGGCATCAAACAACACTTTTAAGTGACACCTAACACTAATTTGCTATGGTGTATCAAATTCCTGACTGCACAGCAGCAGCTTTGCGAACATCAGCAAGAACTTGACGTTCTTGCAAGTTTGCCTTAGTCAAACAGACATGAAAGCTGAGTCTGAGCTTTCACAAAACAAGAAAAGACAGACAGACATCTGCAGTTCCAGATGCTATCTTAAGGTTCTGCTGGTGCACAGGACATGTTTGAATAGTGGTTAGGGACAACAGTTTTGTTTCCACACTGTTCTATTGACAGCAGAGAGCAGAATTCTCTGATGGGTACAGTGACACACAGTGAAACAATCAAAACTTCCTAACCGAGACCTTCTGAGGCTAAAAGGAATCTTGGGAATGCATTCTCCCCTTGCTAAATGGCAATTGCTTTTTCTTCATAGACACTAAAATGATACTGACATCTTCCTGTATTTGAAGAGTTTGTTTGTGCTCTGAGTAGGTATTCCTGGAGGTGAATCTGTCATTCTTGAAAGAGAGAGTGTCTAATTTAATATAAACAGATTTTCTTTTGGGCAGGAACATAAATTTCATGCAAACAGCAACATACGATTGGTCAAAACTGCTGTCTGTAAATTTAAAAACATGTCCATGTGCCACTTATAAAACTCACTGAAGAAGGAAAAACTGAAAACATGTAATGCCTTTGCAAGGATAACTTGGCATTTCAGGACTACACAAATACACAAAAGTCAAAGTTCCCACCAGAAGAAAACTTAGTAACACAAAGGGGGGAAAAAAGGCCACAAAGATCTGAGAAGCAATTGCAATTCTGCCAGGCTGCAAACATCACAGAAACAAGCTTTACTATAGTTCCCTCTGTTTCTCTGGCTTTCTGTGAAAGTCAAACCTGGGGAAACAGATTACAATTTAATATGGTCAATATTTCTGTAACAGTATCTGCCGAAATATCAAGATTCCTCTGCAAAGTGATCTGGGAAGAACAAAACATTCTTTAACGGGGGGGACGTTTATGACTCAAAGTACTCTAAATGTGTGATACAGCAGAATGTTATTCCCATCTTGTGAGGTAAGCAGAGAAGTATGTCATCTACTGCTGGGGAATCCACACATCTCCCCCAGCACAATGGCAAGGATAAAAACAGCTGCTAAAATAGCAATGCCAGTGTAAACACTATGCGTGAATGGAATACCCAAAACGGACTGAGAGGGGGGGGGCTAAGGAAACAGATGACCCTTCTGCCAGATTAAACAGGGCAGGGAGGACTCCACTTGAGGGGAAGTATAAAAGAAGCTTGAACATCTGTAACTGTAGGGAGAAAGAAGAGGGTACCAGAGCAGCAGTCAAAACCTGGTTTGATGCCATCAAAAGACCCCCACCAGCAGCACATCTCTGCCTAGGCCAGACAGAGCTGCCTCCTGGTCAGATGCCGAGGTGAGCCTGTGCCCAGAGAGGACAGACATCGTGGGGAGCAACATACACGCCTCACATCTCAGTGTGCACGCGTGACCTCAGAGGTGCCTTCTACCAGCATGCACGTTAACAGACTACAGGAAGCAGCATGGGGACACAGAAGCTGGAGCACCCACGTCTCCCGCAGGAGGTGTGTAGAGCTAAGACACTCGCGTTCCCAGGGGAGGTGCGTGTGCTTGTAACCCACATCTCCCAGGGGAGCACATGCATATAACTGTGTGAATGGGTCTGTGGAACAAGAACTTATTTGAAAGCATACTCATGCTTCAAAAGCTGTATGTAAGGTTTAACGCTATTTTAAGGCTTGATTACTCCTCATCTCTCTTGAAGGACTGTAGAACACAGCTTATTTGAATTACATGATACACTACTGCAACTGACAGCTAAAACAACAGCTTCCTCAGTTATTAGGAAACAAGACTTTATTATTGGGGGGGGGGGAAATCACAAAAACACCACTGGAGTATACATTGCCATTTCCAGCTAATCCAGAGTTGATGAACATGCTCATGATGTCAGCATATTTTGAAGTACGGCTGTTTTGTTCTTTGGTTCTCATATTCTTAAGAAGTTTAATTAGCACCACATAATATATGACCCAGATAAACGTACTGCCATGAAACATAAAAGTTTAGATCATATTTCCAAAAAACTTACTATAAAGACCACATATAGCTGTAAGCAGACCTACTGATTTACCCAAATAAGGACTACAAAGAAGATCCTCTGGTAATGAGAATCTCAAATTCAGTTTATTTTCCTCTTATAATCTCATTTTGAAATGTCACTCTGAAAGATTTTTTTTTTTTTTAATAGCATTATTTTCAAATTTACCTTAAAAAGAATTTAGAAATATCCTTTCATTGCATTTGTTTATAATACAAGCTACTTCATCAGCTGCTTCTGCTTATCAGAATTCAGGGAGTGAGTAAAGTAGGCTTGTAAGCGAAGTATACTGCCGATAAGATTTGGGGGGAAAAAAAAATATAGAAATTTTATTTATTTTTATATATGTGTATACATTATATAAAGAAACACAATTTCCACCCCCCCAGAGAGTAGTGAAGAGCTGACATTTTAGGTTGTAGGTTTTTAAATTTTTATAGCATCTTTTTGATAAACTAAGGTAACCAGTTTTTTACTTAAGTTTGCCTACATCTTCACAATTGGTACATGAACTACAAACCAGTCTGCACACAGAAAGTTATGTCTGTGAGTTATGGTTGACTTCTAGAAGTCAACTTCTATTTATTCTCTTAGGCTCTAGAAGGACTTTCTCTGGTTGGAACAAAGCAAAGTACAAAGAACAGGTATTGTAAGATCAACATGCTTAAAGATGACTACATTTAAATTTGTTATGGATATATGCAGCTTCACTCAAAAAGTTGATTCTTACAGCAAGAACTGAGATCACTATCTGAGATCTCATCTCCTGGGAGCACACTAATGCTTGCTAGAAAAGCAAGAGTCTATACACATGTATATAAATATTATACACACACAAATGTAAAGCACTCAAGTTTCTGAAAAACATCCAAAACATGTTCAATTGCTTCTTCTGTCCAGAGAGATTCAGAATGGCCAGCCAATTACTTTTATTATTTCTCCTACAGCAGAATATAACTAGCTTCAACTTGGAAACTGCTTCAATTAAATTCAAAGCATTTAAGAAGCAACTTTTGCTAACACATACATTCAGAAGACATAGTTGCTCTAAGTCCATAATTTCCAATTCTTTAGCTAAGAAAAATTCAGCAATGTTTAATTTTTTTCCTTGCATTAAGTGTGCTTATCCTCCTTAAGCCTTGCTTTATTATTATTATTAGATACAAGGGAAAAAATATCCAGTCCTCACAGGTGGTGGGGGGGTTTATTTATTTATTTTTCTAAAGAACAGATTTTGTTTTATCATCTCATATTCTGATAATGAGGTCTCTGGGGCTTCCACCCTACACAAATGTAGAAGTTAAGAAGATACAGACTAAAAATTCTGATTTGCACTACTGAACATAATCTACCCTTTCCTGTTTATGCCTGTTTGGCTACAGGTAAGAGATAGTATTCCCAGAAAGGATTTCAAAATAGCTATTTTTAAATTTTGAATTATTTAATAGATAAACTATTCTGCTGATTCAGTCTGAAACCAAATGGCTTTACTTGCTGGCTTGAGAACAACTTCGATCTGAACTGATCATGAAGTATGCTCTCTAACAAGCCCTGAACTGCTGTCAGGTCTCAATACAAATACAGCAGCCTCCTTTGCTACCTCAGGGAACTCCATTTGTCCCCAGAAGACCTTTTGGCAGATACAAAACTAGACGTACTTTCCCCACAATAATAATTTTAATCTCTCTTTTTTTTTTTCCTTCTATGTGACATTTTACAGCAACAGTTCTAAGTCCCTTCCACATCATGTTCCTATACTCAGATAGAAGAAAGTGACAAGACTCATCTACTTATAAAAACGGAAACGATAAAAATTTTCACAAGCTGAAAACACATGCTCAAAGGTTAGCAAATGCATGCACTGTTACTACATGCTCTTAACTATTCTTTTGGAGGAAATTCTCGTAACAAATTTTCTCTGTTGAATCATCCATTGAGAGCAAAACAAAGTGCACGTACAAATCCACCACCTCTGGCTCTGGAAAAATCTTTGAACCGTGACTAGCCAAAGCTAGTGAGACTCTGGAAAACTGTCACTATGTACTTTTCTTGTTCTTTCACACTTCTTCAGTCATCTGCTATTAGCCAAAGTCAGAAGCAGGAAAACTAAGCAAGACAAATCTTTGGACTGACTTCATCCAGCTATTCTTATGACATTCACTTACATGCAAGTAGAAAAAAAAGATTATTTGCTTATCCTTTCATTGATGGCTTTAACTTTTTCAAGATAATTAACATGAGGAATTAATTTCAGAGAAAAGTCTTCTTATATTTTCCAACAAAGCAAAGCAAAGACACATCCAAAAGCAAGACCACAGACAACCTTTAATTTATTTTCTTGGTTTGTCACTTTCTTTCATATTTTCAAAAGCTTTCTATTAATTCTGAGTGCTCATTGTCACAAGTTTGATTTATATTAGATTCATTTCACTTGAATGAGCACTTCAACAGTTAGGAACAAACTGTAATCAAACCACCCTTTTACAGTTATCACCAGCCTTGGAAAGTAGGAGGTGGAAAAAGACCTAGAAATCTTTCCATTTCATCTCATTAACATAAGACTGGCTGTGATCCAGTGGTCAAAACAAACATTCATGTAACGCCACATCCTTTCTCCAAAAGCTGCCAATAGAAAACGATTGGGAAAAATACGACATCAGGGCAAGTATTTTAATGATATAGCCACAGAATATTCTCTCATCCTTCACCACTTCAGTGCTCAGGAACTTACTGAGCTCGCAGCCCTTAGTATTTAAGAGCCATTGATGAGTCGTCTTCTATGAATTCGTCCAGTTATTTTTTCAACTCATAAACTTTTAGCTGCTGCAGTGTCCTCTGACATTGGAAATCAACAGCTTGCTGCTGTTACAATCAACCCTAGAGTCCTGTATTCCCCAATTTCAAACACGTTAAGCACTCGAGTCTTTAAACTTAAATGTAATGCATGTGTATACTTAAAAAACCCCACACAGCTACACTATGTTTTGCACGTATTAAATGCAAGCGAACACACTTAACAATTCCTCAGGGATACGAATATAATCCAAATCATTATCAGGAACTTGGTATTTTCCCTTAACAAGATACATGCAAGTCATCTTAAGTCCAAATCTAAACTATATTTGAGACACTTAATACGGACCAAAATTTCACTTCAGAATTACCCAAGGAAGCCAAGTAGGACTTACTGATTTTCTTACTAAAGTAGAAGGTCTAAACCTACCAAAGGTAATATTAATAACATCCAAAAGTCACATTTTATTACATACCTCTGAAAACATGACTTGTATTTTCTAAGTATTTACCATATTCTAATACCTGTAACTGGATTAGTAACAATGCAACAGTCTTTATGGCATAGCTAGTCACAGCATTCAGATTTTTTATCTTTTTAATAGCAGCCAACTGATAACAAAAGGGTTTGCCCTAAAAATTGCAAAAGGGCATTTTCCCATGACCATCTTGTCAACACACATGACATGCCAACACTGTGAATCAACTCACCTGCACTTAAAATACTGTGTTCCTTCATAGGTACCATCATGCTTTCCTCTCTGAGGATCATCCCATTCCACGCCAAGCCAAATTCCTGAAAAATATGGTAGATACATTTTCAAATTTATGGCATCATAGCCATAGGAATCATGGTTGGAAGGAACCTCTGAACTTCATCTAGCCTAACCTTCTTTCTCAAAGCAGGAGATTATCACCAGCACTAAAACAGGTCAGCCAGGTAAGTCTTTACCTAGCCAGATCTTGAAAATCTCCAAGGAGAGAAAGATTCCAACTTATCTGGGCAGCCTATTCCAGTGCTGCATTACTTCTGTAGAGAAAAAGATTTTCCTGCTGTCCAATTTGAACCTTTCCAGCTGCCATATATGGCCATTGTCCCTTATTATATAATCTAATACTAGTAAGAAGAATTTGCCTCTGTCATCTTTGTAACCATCTGTCAAACAGCTGCAGGCAGCTATTAGATGCCACTTAATCTTCTCTTCATCACACTGACCAAGCCCAGATCCCTCAACCTCTCTTCACAACTGTACGTGCCACACGTACGTAGTCTATGCCCTTGACCACCCTGGCAGACCTCCACTGGATCCTCTCAAGTTTATCCACATCTCTCTTGAACTGGGATGGTCCCAAACCAGATACATTATTCCAAGTGCAACCTTATCAAGAACCCCTGCCCCCAGAGGGGGATAACAGCTTCCTTTGATTGGCCGAGTTCATCGTTCTAAGGTAACCCAGTACAACACGTATCTTGCTTGTGACAAGAGCTCACTGTTGGCTCATATTCATGACAGTATCCACCTTAACTCCCAAGTCCCTTACAATAGACCCTGTGGGTTGCTAGTGCTTCCCGGTCTGTACGGATACACGGGTTTATTTCACACTACATGTGGAAATTTATAAATTTATCCTTCTTGAATCTCTTAGGCCCAAACCTAAAGTTCATAGAGCTTGCTCTGGATTGCAATTCTACCTTTTGTCACATCAGCCAGCTGAGGCTGAACTCTGTTCATTATCTGAAACACTGATGAATATGTTAAACAACACAGAACCCAGCATTTATTTCTGTAGTACTCGCGCATTACCAGGTATCAAGTCGTTGATTACCACTTTTCCACTTGACAGACCTGTGGACTTTCAACGCACTAACAGTCCATTCATCTGGCTTATATTTCTCCGGCTTCCAAATAAAATTCTTTATAGAGACACTATTAAATGACATTAAAGTCAAGGAATATCACATCCCCCGTTCTCCCTTTGTCCACATTCCCCGTCATATCATCACAGAAGGTAATTAGGTTTGCCAAGCACAACTTGTTCTTCTTTACAAGTATCAAGTATTCCAAACTACCACCTTGTCCTTCATAGGCTTGGAAATGGACTCCAAGGGAACATGCTGCATGATCTTTCCAGGAACTGAAGTGACGCTGATGAGTCTACGGTTCCCTGGTCATCCTTCTTGCCTCTTCTAGAACTGTATGCAAGGCTAGTCTCCTTCCAAGCATCAGCAGTCTCCCCATCCTGTCACCACAACTTTTCAAAGATGACATATAGTGCTCTCACAATCAGACTGGTCAGATCTTTCAGCAAGCTGGGCTGAGTTTTATTTGTCCCCATGAATTTGAATATGTTATCAAAGGAGTGCCTTAGTCTGTTGATCTGCTGCTGCTGCCTGTCTCTCTCCTTCCCAGACTATGCCAGTACACAGAGATCAGGGAACAGACTGTTCGTGAAAACTAATGGAAAAAGGAAGGCACTAAGATCTTTCCGCTGTAAGAAAAAATGTAACCAATTTCAACCAAAAGTACTTCTTACACTCCTTTTGAAAACTCTGACTTCTAAAAAAACCCAACAACTTATCTAGATTAGAAGTTGACATATTTACACAAGAACAATGAGAGAAAAAAACAGTTTGTAAATTGCCACATTCTACCTGACAATTTTTTTTAAATTAAGAGGAACATAATTAGAAATTGAAAACAACCATTAAACGTGAAGGTTATTTACTAATGTGATATTCACCTGCTGTAGGAGAAACGCTGCCAACATAGCGCACAGTTGCATACTCCGTGCCACACAAGATTCTTCGACCCAGCGCATCAGAAGGCACCCAGGCAGTCATCCTGGGAAAACTGACGCCTGAGCTACCCGCAGACCTGCAGCGACAGAAGCGACACCCTTAACACACACAAGTCACCGCTCTCATAAGTCCCCTACCTCGACTTGCTTTTTTACTGCCTAGCAGCACGCTGGACCCCCACAGCTGAGCTTCGCCCTCCCAGCCCTCCCGTGCCCCCAGCACC